TCTAAATTCTATTTGCCAGTATCTTTTTAAGAATTTTTACATCTATGTTCATTAGTGATATTGGCCTATAGTCCTCTTTTCTGGCTGCATCTTTCTCTGCTTTGGGGATCAAGGTGATGCTTGCTTCCAGGAATGAATTTGGGAATATTGCTTCTCTTTCAATTTCATTGAAGAGTTTAAACAGTAGTGGCAATAGTTCCTCTCTAAATGTCTTGTAGAATTCAGCAGTGAAGCCATCAGCCCTGGGCTTTCTCAGTTGGTAAGTTTTTAATTACACTTTCAATTTCATTGATTGATATTGGGTTGTTTGGAATTTTTAAGTTTTCTTCATTCGACTTTGGTAATTCATACATATCTAGGAATCTGTCCATTTCTTTTGTGTTTTCTGTCTTATTGGCATATAGGTTGTGGAAATAGGTGTTGATGATCCTCTGGATTTCTGCTGGGTCCATTGTAATTTCACTCTTTTCATTCCTAATTGTGTGGATTTTGGCCTTTTCTTTCCTTTTTCTGATAAGCCTGGGTAAGGGTTTGTCAATTTTGTTTATTCTTTTGAAGAAACACCTCTTCGCTTCATCGATTTTTTTTGTATCATTCTTTTAGTCTCCATTGGATTGATTTCTGCTCTGATCTTTATAATTTCCTCCCTTGTATGATCTTTGGGTTTTTCCTGCTCTTCTTTTTCTAGAAGCTTAAGGTTCAGCATCAGGTTGTTTATATGAGCTAGCTCTGTTTTTCTAATATGAGTACTCACTGCTATTAATTTCCCTCATAAGACTGTTTTCATTGTGTCCCATAGATTCTGATATGTTGTACTGTCATTTAATTTTAGGAACTGTCTGATTTCTTCAAGTTCCTCTGTGACCCATTGGTTATTCAGAAGTGTGGTCAATTTCCATGTTTTATGAAATCCTTGCAGTTTCTTTTGCTATTGATCTCCAATTTCATCACACTATGGTCTGATAATATACAGAGAATAACTTCAATTCCTTTGCATTTACTTAAACATGTTCTGTGTGTGAGTATGTGGTCTATTTTGGAGCATGACCCACGTGCAGCTGAGGAGAATGTGTATTCTGACTTTGTGGGGTAGAACACTCTGTAAACATCTGTTGAGTTCATTTGTTGAAGAGTTTGATTGAGTTCTAGAAGTTCATTGCTCATTTTTTGTCTAGTTGATCTATCTGTTTGTGACAGTGGGGTATTGAGGTCTGCCACTACTATTGTATTACTGCTTATTTGATTTTTCCTCTTCATTGGTATTTGTTTTATGTAGTTGGGTGCACTATTTCTTGGTGCATAAATATTATGATTGTTATCTCTTCCTCTTGGATTGTTCCCTTTACAAGGATGTAGTGTCCTTCGTTGTCTCTCTTAATCATTGTCGTTTTGAAGTTCATTTGATCTTCAAAGAGGACAGTTAGTCCTGCTTTTTTTTCGGGTTCCTCTTGCATGGAGTATTGTTTTCCACCCTTTAACTTTCAGTCTATGAGTTTCTTTCTGAATTAAGTGTGTTTCTTGTATGCAGCATATTGTTGGATCTTGCTTCTTGACCCACTCTACCAGTCTGTTTCTTTTGATTGGTGAAATGAGACCATTAACATTGATGGTTATAACCGATATGTATTGACTTACCCTTGTTGTGACTTTTTGTTGTTGTTGGAGTCTCCCCGTTTGGATTTACTTTCATGTTGTGCCTGATGGATTCATTCTGCTCGGCTTCCTGGGGTTATGATCCTCATTGTCTTTTCCTAGGATATTGTTTAAAAATTTTTGGAGGGTGGTTTGATATTCATGAAGTTCCTAGGGTGCTCTCTTTTGTGAATTTCTCCATCAATTTTGAAAGATAGTTTTGCAGGGTACATCATTCTTGGTTGGAGGCTGTTTTCCTTCAGGGCTTGAAATACGTCACTTCAAACCCTTCTTGCCTTAGGGTTTGCATTGAGAAGTCTGCTGTGATTCTAATGAGCTTTCCTTTGTATGTGATTTGTTTCTTTTCTCTAACTGCTAGTAGAATTTTGTTCTTCTGTTGTGTTTTTGGAATCTTAACTCTTATGTCCATATGTGTAGTTTTTTTTGATCAAGGCTAGTTGGAGTCCTATATGCCTCACTTATGTGTATGTTAAGTTCTTTTCCCCTGCTTGGGAAGTTTCCTGCCATTACTTCTGTGAACAGGTTTTTTAATGTTGTCTGCACTCTCCTCTGCTTCTTCATTGACTTTGATCAGTCTTACGTTATTCTTCTTTGCATCATCTAGCACCTCCTGGATTGATTTCTCACGGGCTCTTACTACTTTAAAGAAATTTTTTCTTTTCCTGGTCACTAATTGCAATCTTATGTTCTATATCTGAAATTCTGTCCTCACATTGGCTCATTCTGCTGTGTAAACTTTCAATGGAGTTTTTAATCTCCTGGAAATCTGTTTGCATCTGTTTTATGGATTCCATTTATTTCCTATGTTGTGATTCCATCATGTTCCTCAGCTCCTCTATTTTTTGATCTGTGTCCTTTTTAGATTTATTAATCATGTCTCGCACTATGGACACATTCTCTGCTGTTATCTGAGAAATTATTTCTGATTTCATTTTTTCCAGATCCTCTTTTGTTGCCAGTTTAGGTAGTCCAGGTGGTTGAGTATCAGATTGTTCCTTCTCATTTCACTTTGGGGTTCCTTTAGGTGATCTGCTCATTTCCCTTTGCAATTGCTTTAGGCAATCTGGAAGTCTGGTTTTGAGACTTGTTTACTAGTCTTCTCATTTCAATGGGGGTGGTGGGTTTTTTTCCTGGTACCCATGCATCTCACCTACTTGGCACTGGGGGTGGCTCTGCTCCTGGTCGCTGGGGGCAGTGGTATGGTGGCCCCAAAGGCTCCTCCTTGGTGCTCTAGAGGTTGTTCTTAATCAGCCTGTGCTATTACCATGATGTGCATGTTTCAGAAATTCCAAATGAGGCCAGTCAGTATCTAATTCAGCATCCAGTCCCTGAGCACATGGTCCTTGGGCATCGAAGCCATAAATATTTCACCCCCCAGTTTGTGATTTAGTTTGTAGAGGATCCAGTACATTGTCAGCTGGCTCCAAGGCAAGGCAGCATTGCGGAGGGACGTGGCAGAGATGAAATAGTCCACAGCGTGGCAGCCAGGTAGCAGCCCTATGAACATTCTTATACATCTTGTATGGATATCAGTTTTTATTCTCTTTTATAAATATGCCGATGTGGATTCATTGGGTAAATATTTTTCTTTCAAATATTTTTATGTGTTTATTTTGTTTATTTTAGGGCCTAGTTCATTTTACTCTCAAATAAATACCTTTTTATTTGTAATTCAACAATTTGATTAAAGTTTTTCTGAGAAAAGAGTCATGGCTTAATTTTCTTTTCATCTTAGTTGGTGTTAAGTTGTTAGACTCTGGCAGTAGTCCAGATATGGTGTAATTCTTGGGTAATGTTGCTTCTATTTCTGGGAACTGGAACTGATCTTAACTTAAAAGGGAAAAAGGGAAATATTCTCTGTCAGAACATTTAGAAAGAAGAGACCTGGGGACAGAGAGATGATATCAAAATCATTAGCCTATGAATTGAATAGAAAAGCAAGGTTAAGCATAAGAAGTAAGATAAACAGAAAAAAGACCTGAAATTTCTTTTGAGTAAACACCCAAGTATAAATTCAGAGTACAGAACCAATTTCAAAATCATCTTCAAGGTCTTTTCATAATGTAGAATGCAAACATATCACTTTACCTTGGGTTCTTTGGAGACTTTAAAGGCTGAAAACCCTTAAGTATTTAATATTTTCTCATGAACATAAAACAGGTATAGGATTTTCTTTCTTTCTTTACTTTTTAATAGCATATTATAATGGGTATTAGGTTAAAGAGTCCTTCTATATCAGAATGTCAGGAAATTGTTCCCTGTGCTACACAACACATATTTTTCATTCTTTCCTTTTCCTAAACCCAGATATAAACTAGTTGATCTACTTGAAAGTATGCTTTAACTTGGTGTTGTAATGAGTTTGTTGGCTTAAAAGGAACAGCTACTCAAATCAATTCAAATAGAAAAAGAAGAACATGAAGAAGATATAAAATCATGTCACTGAAGTGAGAAAATTCAGTTCATTGAAACTGGGTCAGAAGATTGAAAGCCACTGGGATCTTAGGAGTTCTCTTTCACCGACTTTGCCATCCTCTGAATCTTTCAGATTTTCTGTCTCAGTTTGTTTTTATTTCTCTTTCACTGCATCTCTTTTGTGTAATATATTCTTTCAAATTTGTTATTCTCTGAAACTCTCCTTCATTTTTTCTCTGCTGGATGGTTTAACCTGCTAATCTATTGCCTCTGCTTCTTAATAACATGGCTTGTCTTGACACTAATGCTACCCTCAACTCCACAAGACTTTTCAGCTTTTCTTGGCACAATCTATGAGAACCCATTTGGTACCAGGGTGGGCAGGCTGTTCATCTTTGGTCACCATTGGTGGCCAGGATGGGTAGGGTTACATAGTTCTAATCTGGCTACTGCCCTTTCCCTTTACATAGGGACCATGAGCAGGAGAGTTTAAGGAAAAGTTAGGCATGGCAGGCAATTGAATGGCACACCACCATGAATGGTCTTCTGCTTACTAGAGGTGTTTGAAAAATCTGTCCTATTAGGCATGATCATCTAATACTTCCCTGATGTATAGTGGATGAACTATACATACAGGCTTACATGCAGATAAACTAGGGCTATCCAAATAGGTAGCTAGTTAAATTTCAAGCTTGTCCATCATTTGGAAAAAAACATCCCTCCTCATGTCTAATTAACAATGTCTGTATTGTCAGTGACCTGCTAACTGATTTGATTTGAAACAACTATTTTTAATGCTTCTTTGATGCACCATAAACAAAGAAGTGAGTCAATTTAAAGGATAGTGACTCCAGAACTGTAATAACATTAAAGAATGTATCTGAAATTGGCTATGTCTGCTGAGCTAATATCATGCTGTCTGACATTTTCAGATCTAAAGTCATGAACCTGAAGCCTGTATTTTGACTAGTCTAAAATGTTATAATCTTGGATTTAACGAAAACCAGCTATCAATTTTGACTTTGTCTTTAACTCATCAGGGTATAATGGCCTTCAAGGTAATTTTTAATCTATATGTAAATTTCTATAACAGCTGTAGTATAAACTTGATGTGCAAAAAGGATTGAATGAAAGTAATATTTCGAAAATAATGTCAATAAAGAAGCTGTACAAGTAATACATGACAGTCAATGAATTTGAACATAGGTTATATTAAGACACTTTCAACAAAATTATTGTCATTGAAAATTTTCTGGGGCTGATAATGCATGAAGTAATATGTAGAACAGAGAATTAAAATAAGATTTCATTATAGGGTTGTTAAACTATGTTAAAGGTCACACAATTTTTCATTTGGCAGATCAATATAAAAGTTAATATCTTAAAAAAAAGTTGATATCTTTACTGAATTCATTTTCTACTCAGTAAAGTGACTTAAAGCAATTAAAACTCTTATTTTTTTGATACAAAATTATATGCCTTGTCTACCTAGTCTAGGTTTATAAGTAAATACTGTCTAATGTTTATAGTGGTGTGAGACATACTAAAATGTCATGAAAACCCTAATTTTTCCTAGAAAGAATGAAGGTTATGTTAATATATGATTTTCTACATCTTCTAAAAATTCTTTCATTTTCATGGAACAGTGTTGCACAGGGCAATGTTTGAAGAATATTAATAAAAATCATAGGTACTCAAACTTCATTCTGAAGTCAGTGAGTATTAGTCTCTAATTTCACTTGTCTACCACAAGGAACAGAAGAAAAAACAGAAATATTAGAGTGAGTTATTTTGGCTACCATTTTCCTTTTTGTAATAGTTTAGTTAAGCTAAGAGAGGTGCCACATGCCTGTAATCCCAGAATTTGGGAGGCTGAGGTAAGAGAATTGCAGGGAATTTGAGGCCAACCTGGGTTACATAGTGAATTCAAGGCCAGCCTGAACTACATAATGAGACCCTGTCTCAAAGAAAAAAGAAAAGAACCACCCCCCAAACCAACAACAACAACAACAACAACAACAACAATATCAGAATAGTTCAGTTAAAAGAAAGGCAGAAAATTACCTCTGGGCTGATGGCTATGCAAAAATGAAATGGTGGATTCTAAATACAACCTAGGACATAATGTCTAAGCTCTTTTAATTTCAACTGGCTTTAATTCAATGTACTCAGGGAAATCAGTAGATTAATGATTTGGATCATTGTCATTATGATCAGTGAAAAATACAAATTGCTGTCCCTAAGGTACTTCTATGCTTAATCACGTTAATATTTTGACTGGGAAGAGATAATAAACACCTTTGTCCTTTAAATATCAACTCAAAGAAATTTTTAAAAATTCTGACATTTGTGTTTGTATTGGAATTTTTTGTGTTGGCTGGATCTCACTATGAAGTGATTATCATGCAGTGGCATTCTTACTGAGAAATGATTTTTTGTTGCATAAAAGATGAACAGAGATCAGTGAGCTGTGTCTGCTGATAGACTATAATTTGCAGACTGTGATGTCAAAGCAGATTTGGGATTTGAGGCAAAGTTAGTGATTCTGTGGCAGTAGTGAATCATGCACAATTTTATCCCACCACATCCTGTCACATAGTGTAAATTTATATAGTCATACACATACATAGTCATATACATAGTCATATAGTCACAATGGTGTATGTTAAATGCTGTGTAATACCTGGCACAGAGTAAGAAAGTAATAGTTATGAAACATACCCTCAGTGTTTTCTGACATTTTCTTGACAATATGATCAATATATTTTCTGCTAACTTGTATATTAAGGTGCTCTGTGTCTTTCAGAGCTCAAAACAGTATTGTGTAAACTAAGTTGATTTGCTTACCTTGTGAACAGACAGGCACTGATGTACAGGGTTTTTCCCACACTCACAAGTTCTGGAACATATCTTGGTGGTTTTGGCAGCCACATTCTTTCACAAATCATTTGTGTGCCAGGTCCCTGAGAAACTGGTGTTGATGAAATGTGGAATTTGCGTGCATGCTTGAGTGTGTGTGTGTCTGTACCCGTGTGCCATGGAGTTTTGCTGGTGGTGGTAAAACTGCCATTTGTTACATCATTTTATTTGGCAAAAAAGACTGCCAATAGGACACAAGCTGCCAAAAATGAAAGCTAAAGAAAAAAGTATTAAAGTCAGCTTGAGAAAAAGTAAATTCATGCTAGATATAGGGAAATAGTATAAGAATGAGAGCTAATTTCTCACAGGAACAATGGTGATCAGAGACAATGGGATGGTATCTTTAAAGGTCTGAAATGAAAACAAAACCTCTCAATGTAGAATTCTATATCCACCATATGAATATATTCAAATTAGGGACATTTAAAATGATGAATGTTTTAGGTAATGGTGGATGGAAATGATGTGTTAGTAAATTTTAGGTAAATATTAGCCCACTTCCTTTCCTACCTAGATTTCTCTGGGGTACAGGTAAAATGTGTCCCTACTTGTCTTTTGTCAGTCTCCTCTCAGTTTGACCTCTCACCTTACCCATTCTATGCTGAATTTATTGCTGAGTTCTGTCCTCCCTACTTACTGCCTGACATTATGTTCAAATTAAGGCCTACTCTCATTCATATTTCTTCCCTTACTCATCCTCTTCTTTCTTGCATCAAAAATGATACTTGTGATCCTAAAACCTTAATGAGTTAGTCTAGAATGTTAAGATTTGTTAAATAAGTGTAGTGGAAATACAGATGCTATATTTATTGTTACCAAAAAAAAAATGATGAATGTTGAATTTGTTGCCAGCAGATTTGTACTGCAGGAAGTGCTGAAAGAAGTTAGATGGGAATTCAGGTCTACAATGAAGACTACATACCCGAGAAAAGGTAAATATGCATGCAAACCTAAAATGTTTTAGAGATTTTTTTTAATGCATGCTAAATATATAGTTGAACTTTAAAGGAATATTGACATTTAAAATAAAAACAGCAAATGTGTTTTGGTTTCTTCAGTTATAAATGAAAGAAAAAGAAATGCAGAAGTACCACAAAGGGTGGGAAAGGGTTAATGGAACTGTGCTGTTATGAGAGTGCTCCGCAGTGAGTGAAGTGGCATTGTAGTAAATGTGGCTAGGGAAGCTGATGAACTGAATTTATAATTTTAGTTAATTAAAATTCAAATGAAAAATTGAAGCTGTATAAATACTTTTCTAAAAAATACAGTTGTATTGTTCTTCTAGGACAACCTTTTACATCAGATTTCCAAGACTTAGTATCGATGCACTTTTAGAATGAAAAGTAATATTAATATTTTTATATTTGTTTCAGGTTGAACTGATACTGTTTGGGGTATATTAGGCTAAATAAAATGTTATTCAGTCAAAAAAAAAGACTGCTGATATAGTCAAGGATAAGATATTAAGATATGGAGCTTATCCTAAATTATCCAGGTAGGCCCCATCTAATTATATGAGCTCAGAAAAATAAATAAATTTCTTTCCAGAAATTTGACTTACTGGAGTCAGAGATGTGGAAGAAATCAGACAATTATAAAGCATGAAATGGGCGGTATTACCATTTCTGGTGTGGGAGGGGGTGGGTCACAGAGAAGGCCTGAGAAAGAATGTGGGCAGCTGCTAGGAGTGAAAACTTCCTCCTGGTTTATAGCAGCAAGTAAGTGGGAGCCTCAGCTATACCTGTGGAAGGAAATGAATTTTTCTAACACCTGAATAAGATTAGAAGAGAATTCTTCCCCAGCACCTTGAGTAAAGAATGCATCACTGCCAAGACCTTGAATTTGGTGGGTGTGACCCTAAGCAGAGTGCCTAGTCCAGCCCACCTAGACTTTTCACCTTTAACAACTGTGAGTTAATACATTTGAGTTGTTTTAAGCCACTAAGCTTGTGGATATTTGTTATAACAGCAATAGGAAACTAATACTGTGTTTATCTCTGAAAGATCCTTAGATAGAACTATTTTATATCCACTGGTTAGACTCCATCTACCTTCCTGGTCTTATATTTTGTCTGTTTAAATTCAATTCTACTAATTCTTGGCCCATTTTGTAACTTCTTACACCATTTTACAACTCATTATAACATCCATTTATATCCTATAACTTCCACGACATAGTTACAGTTTCTAAAACAGTAATCTGTAATGTCTATGATATATACAAAACCAATTCATAAATGTAGGACCCATGACTGGGGAAATTACCTATCTGATCTAAGTAACACATACCTCTGGAAAATGACTGAATTGTATAAAAATCTATATAAAAATATGCTATCTCCTCACTTTTATACTTCCTGCTGACAGCCTCTTTCCCTTTAAGCAATTGATTTTTAGTAGTTTGCAGTTTAGATTTCGAAAACTGGAATTTATCATATGAAACCATAATGTTAGGCTACTTCAAGGCTGTCATTAACAAACTTCAGCACTACTTCCTAAATAGAGAATTGCTTCTCCTTGGTCCACTTTAGCTCAAAGAGCAAATTAACTCATTTGTTTGCTTAGAAATTTGCTTCTGGAGTTAGATGGGAAGAATATGAGTTTACAGCTGAGTTAACTATAGCTATGAGAGCTCTTTCCATTAATTGCAGGCTATTGCAACAAGCATAGTATGCCCATTGTTTCTGTTTCCTTTAGTAATTTGTGAAAACACCCAAAGGCTTAATAATTGTGCCTTTGTATTCTGAAATAAATAAGCAGGATAGCCAATTAAGGGTACATGCATATAAATCAAAATTATTTTTCTCTTCTGTGCTTGCAAAAACCAAAAAAGAGCTACCTAGGCAAGACCTGTAGAAATTTACCAAACAGTTAGTGTTGTGATGTTCACTGGAATTGGGAACTGCTGCCCACATGCTTCATTAGCTCTAGAGTCATGGAGCTGGGTTTGAACTCCAAATCTGTTTCTTAGTGGCCATGTGATGTTGAGTGAGTTGCTGAGGTCCTTTCTTCTCTTATCGTGTGATGATAACATATATCTCAGATCTTTAAAATACTGTAACAGGCACAGTTCTCATGACCATTGATGAGGATGCTTTGAAGTTCTCTGCACATTGCATCATTGGTGTGAAACATTAAGTTAGTCAGAGCCTCAAATAATTTCTCCTGCTAAGCATGGTTAAGGGTTTTCTATATCTTTCAAAAGAATACGCATGACAAAATAAAATGGATGAGAGAGAGGGAATGTGGAGGAAAAGACTAAGATGAACATGGAATGTGTATGGAAGCTGACTTATATAAGCCCCAGAAATAATTAGTGTATAAGTGTCACCGACCCTCGTCCCTGAAAGCCAAATTTTTCTGAAAGACCTTTAAATATAATTTTGAAATGTGTTGTTTTTCAGGTACATCTATGCTGTGTTAATATCAAATATTTCAAGTCCATTCTCAGACTTGAACCTGAAGTTGTTTTTTCAGCATCTGGGAACAGAAATTGCACTTGTGTGTGCTGTGTTTATGATAGTAGCAGGGCATGTCCAGACAGATCCAAACATAAAAAGGATTATTATTTCACACTTCTTGAGCATTCCAGAGAGAGAACTATATTCTTAAATAGAGTTCTAATATTTTCCCTTTGATAGAAACTTAATTTGTAGGAAATTTAATTTGTTAAAAACTACCTTCTTTTCTGTTGGGATTTAGCTCAGTGGTTGCTGCCTCGCAAGCGCAAGGTCCTGAGTTCGATCCCCAGTACCAAAAAACCCTCCAAAAAACTACCTTCTTTTTCTGCTTAGCTATCAGCTCTGTCAAGGGCAATGTGGAAATTTGTTCTTCAGTCTAGCAGAGCCATTGTGTTGATGATTTTAGGTTAAAAAAAGTTTCATTGTTTTCTAAATAATAGTTTGTTAGAGGAAAGTTTATTATAGTCTCTTTAAGAATCATTTAAAATTGGAATCATTAAAATTTCAGGTGAGTTTATCTTAGCTGGCAGGGGAGATGTTAAACTGCCTGTAACAAATAAAAGTTGTTTTTTCACACAAGTTGCAAAAAATTCCCATCTCAAAAATATTAAACTGTGAGTCAAAAGTCATAGGAACCCAGAATTCACCCTAAGTCCCCTACCTTCCTCCTCCTTACCATTTATTCATTATGTTCTCATCCCTGCAGCCCTTGCCCAGTGTCTTTCCTCAGATCTTATTTTCCTCTTCTCTGGACCTTACACATGTCCTCACTGGTGTTGCTGTTTCTCCTGTTGCCCTTGCCACTACCACAAACCACCTCTACAGCTGTGTTGGTGTGATCTGTCTAGCAAGTCCAATTGTATTGCTGCCCTGGTTGAAAGCAGTTACTGCCTTCCACTGTTTGGAGAATGAAGTCCAAACTTTCTTTACATGCCAGGGGCTCATTATTTGGCCCTTGGCCGTATCCATTTTTTCGTCCCTACACCAGCGCCCCCCCCCCCATGCTAAAACAGCTCCCTATCCCCTGAGCCCACAGCATTGCTTTATTCTCTACATCTCTGATTTCCATTTTCCTCATAAACAGTCATCTTCTGGAGACTGAACTCCGTGCTAACTCTCTCATCTCGCCTGCCCTACCCACACAGAACTGGCTTCTATCTCCTTTGGGTCTCCTCTATTCTGGAGAGACTTCTGGGCATAGCATTTGTTATGTTTTCTTGCATTTGTTCACATGACCATTTTTCAACTCCAGACTTAATCTCATTGAGATTAAGACTCTTATCTTATCTCACAAGTATTAATATGCTTGGCACTCAATATGCACTCATTACATATTTGCGGGAAAGAGGAGAGAATGGAAAGACCTGAAACAGAGTACTGTGCTTGACAGGTTTAATAATCTTGATAAATCTTGTCACCACTCAGAGTTTGTTTCCTCACCTGTTAAACAACAGTAATATCGTTCATTCTTCTCACTACACTAAAACAAACTCCTTTGTACACAGGCTGCTGGCATCAACTTTAGACACCATCTGCCCTCTGCTTTCCTCTGTGATCACATTTCAGGCCACCATGCCCCTCCTTCTAAGTTCTCCAGAGGAATTTGCCTTCTGATTGTTTTTAGAAGGTGGCAAGCTGCTTTCATTCCCAACACCCCGGCACATGCTACATTGGCTCTTGCTCATTGCTGTGAATGGGAGCTGCTGCCCTGAACTTCACAGTGCTTCTCATCAAATGCCACCTTTTCAGACAGGTCTTGGTTGACTCCTTTCTAAAGTAGATCTGCTTGTGTTAGCCTATTTTGTATACCATTCATGTTGCTATTTCTTTTTAACCCCATATTTGTGTTTATTTTTTGTACCTTCTTATGCACAGTTTCACTTTCCATGATTTCAGCTATCTGTGGCACTGGTGTCTGAAATATTAAATGGAAAATTT